CCAAACTGCCACCTTCACTTGGATGAAGCCAGAGATCTCACCGCCCTCACCTCAGTGGTGAGGGGCTTCCTAAGCCCTGGGAGGCCTGGTCCCCAGTTAGTCACAGGTTTGGCCTCTCCCCTACCTCACCTGGTGCTCTGCGGGCACTGCCCCCTCCTCCTCTGCCAGTCCATAGTACACCTCATAAGTCATCAAAGTGGCAAAGAGAGGCACACAGGCCACTTGCCGGGAAGAGGGCTCTGCACAGTGGAACGCCTAGAAAGGAAGACAAAACATGAAACTGAGAACTAACCTCAAGTAATTCATCCCTAACCTCAACTTCCCAGACAGGGGATAGCATTCAGGACAGATGAGAATGCCTAACTCCACAAGAACATAAGCTGCATGCGGACAGGATCTCATCTGCCTTGCTGTATCCACAGCCTCCATATATGTAACGGGCTGAATAAATATTTATTCCTTAAAACTTCTCTCTCTGTCCTGGGAGACTATTTTCATTCCAGGGCCATGAGATGGTTTTGGCTTCATTTCCCCCTGTATCTGTGAACTCCCTGGGCACTAGACCTCTTGGGTCCACAGATATAACGACTGAAGATTAGCTAAGTCCTAGCAGGTAGAATTTGAACTGAGGGCATAAATGGGTTGCGGGTACCCACCACTCACCTCCAACAACAGCTGTAGGACCTGGGCTTGGTGGATCCCAACTCTGTGGCAGGCCCCGACCAGGGCAATGACTACCCCTGAGTGACCCTGAGCCAGCACAGCTTCCAGGGCAGGGCTTAGCTCCTCAAACACGGGGGACAGCTGAGGGGAGACATGGGTTAAAGAATCTGGCATTCTGGTAACCGTGGGCTGAGTTATTGAGAGAAATCTTCCTGCCAAAAACAACTAAAAATGCTAGATAAAACATAAAAGCATTGCCAATAACAGGACTTTGGTTTGGATGGATAAGGAAGGTCCAGAACAAAGGGGCAGTCTTAGAGGTGCGGCCTCCCATGGGGAGGGGATTGTAAATGGCCATACTCTCAGGATAAGGGAGGACTAGAATTAAACCTCCCCTTCTACCCTAGATCTCAACCCATGAGATCCCAGGGAAACATGCCTTGGCACTAAGCAGCAAAGGAAATGAGAAGCTAGGACAGCAGCTCCAGTGCTCATATGGATTTGTAGCCAAGTACCCAGAGACTGCGCGAGCCACGGAAGCTCAAGCTGAGAACTTGAATTACGCCGGTCTCCTGCTGGCATTGGCACCTGAGAGAAGCCAAAGCAAATCCTTTCTGGGAAGAAGGCACCTTTACCCTAAGCTCTGGGAAGCCTCCAGGAATAACTTCTCAAGGGGAATGGCCAGTACACTGTTGAAAATACAGACGTAGGCATACAATAAAGCAAGTCCCAACGAACAAGAACTAAAAGGAACGGACTCAGCCAAGTTCCTGACTCACCAGCTCAGGAGTGGTGATAGCATCCAGGAAACGTTGCAAAGGGAAGTTAGCAATAGGATGTGCAGCCAGGGTCTGCAGCTGTCCTTGGAAGTGATCCTCAAAGAGGCTCTGGAGCCTTGGGGGCTCCGACACCAGCAGCACCTGCTCCAGGAGTCTGGAGCTCGTCTGATCGCGCAGAAATAGCAGTAGGGGACTGGGGACAAGGAGAGGGTGATCAGGTAGTCTTCACTTCACTTCATCCAAAATAACCACATCTTACCATGGTGATCATTTTGAAGTGTACTGAAATAGCAAATCATCACGTTGTGTGACAGGAACTAACACAGTGTTGTACGTCAATTATACTTCAAAAACAAACAAACTTATAGGAAAAGAGGTCAGATTTGTGTTTACCAGAGGCGGGGGCCCTGGGGGTAGGGGGAACTGGCGGAAAGCGATCAAAGGTACAAACGTCCAGTTATAAGATAAATACTAAGGATGTAATGTATAACATGATAAATATAACTGACACTAGTGTATGTTTTTACATGAAAGTTGTTAAGAGTTCCATCACAAGGAATAAAAAATTTTTTCCTATTTCTTTAATTTTGTATGTAAACGAGATGATGGATGTTCACTAAACTTATTGTGGTAATTGTTTTGTGAGGTAAGTCAGTCAAATCACGCTGCACACCTTAAACTTACGCAGTGCTATGTCAGTTATATCTCAATAAAACTGGACAAAAAAATAACACGGCTATATACATATATATCTCATATATATACCTCATATATATATATCTCATATATATATTTCATATATATACATATGTACACATACACAGAATGAAAACCTTCGTCTTTTAAAACAAACAAACAAAATACCCATATCATGTCATTCATTTCACACAGCCCACCACCTTGGTCAATCCTGAGGCCCTGTCCATACCTGCCATCTGCTGAGGAATTGCGGCTACTCAAGTAGCCCATCACAGCATTGCAGAGGTGGGCACAAAACTGGGGCAGCTTGCGGTGTAAGATCTGTAAGGCTACTTGAAGGCAGAAGCTGGAGATCTTGTCAGTGATAAACACTGTGGGGGAGGGCAGAAATAATAAAAGCAGCTTTCCCAAAATCCAGACAACCTATAAAACCTCAGATCTCAGACAACAAGATTCAAGGGACTATGGACACAAATGGTCTACACAGGGCCTTTACAACATCAAACCAGATAAGATTTGAAAAGAAGAGGGATAAGACTGATCAAAATAAGAGCCTTGTTTGATGATCATCACCTCCAAAAAAGATCCCAGATTTCCTCTTATTTCCCTCCTTACCAGCAATGTCCTTCAGAAAGCAGGAGCTCAGGTCCTGAAGACAATTCAAGAAGGTTTCAGGGACCTCGAAATCGGTTGCCTTACATTCCCGAGATGGGGCCCTTTGTGCTTCTGAAGGAAGATCAAGAACGTATGCAGCGGTGAGATCACAAACTGCCATCCAGGAGGAAGAATAATTCCATAGTTGAACAAGGATTTGGCTTGGAGATGCGGAACACATACAGCTCGGTTGGTACAACTGAATGTCTCGTCTCGTCTGGATGACTGAACTGAGACTACATATCCGTTTTAATTTCTCTAAGAAACTTCAACCAGCTCCCCCACGGTCCATAGGAGATAGTCCAAACTCCTCAGTCAGGAGTTCAAGGTGTTCCAAAATCAGGCCTCACCTAAACTCACTATCTTATTTCCCAATGTTTTTCAAAATGTAGGTCTGCTGCCTATGAGTGTATTACGAAATCAATCTAGTGGGTCTCAACCACCTTTTTTTTTTTTTGGCCGCGCTGCGTGGCCTGCGGGATCTTATTTCCCCAACCAGGGATCGAACCCGCGCCCCCTGAAGTGAAAGCACAGATTCTTAATCACTGGACCGCCAGGGAAGTCCTAAGCATTTTTTTTTAATGTAACACACAAAATAAAATGAAAAAGGAGGGAACTCCCTGGCAGTCCAGTGGTTAGGGCTCCAAGCCTCCACTGCACGGGGTACAGGTTTGATTGGTCGAGGAACCACAAGCCGCGTGTGGTTCAGCAAAAAAAAAAAAAAAAAAGGGGGGGGGAAGAAAATATCAGAGTGGGTTGCATGTAGTAAGGGTATTGTTTCCTGACGTTTTGCTTGAATCCAGTATGTGTATATATACACATATGTACGTCGAGTCATGTTCAAAAAACTTTTCCATACTGTGAGTTCTGGTTAAAAAAAAGTTTGAAACGCAATGCTCAAGTGAATCATCTCTTCCACTTGCCCCCATTCTTCTAACAGCTGTTCCCTAAACACACCTATGCATCCTCACCTCTGGGCCTCTACGCACACTAATCTTTGGCCTGATATCCCTGACCTAATTTCTCTGCTAATTCTTTAAGGTCAAGAAGAAATCTTCTGCTTATTCTCTCCTTCTGAACTTCCTAAACTCTCCTTCCCTCTGGGTCCATATCCCTTTCTTGTAATACTTACCAGGTAACTGGGAGCCACGGTGCCTGGCTCTCTCAGACTCCAGAAGAGTCCCTCCCAATACCTGCAGCAAAGTTCTGACCACGAAGCTGCCACGTGTGTCTCCACAGTAGAAAAGAAAATCATCACACACCTCAGCGGCTAGTCCCAGGCCCAGCTCCTCCAGGGCCTCCAAAGGACCATCCTTCCCATCCTCCTCCGCCTCCTCCTCCGCAGGGTTCCCTAGCAATCGAGGCAGCTGCAGCAAAGCGCTTTGCAATACATGGACCCCACATCGATGACAGGCCACAAAGCGCAAGTTGGGCCGCAGAGCAGCCCATACTCGACACAGCGGTTTCAGGGGACTGAACCCCAACAGTTCCTGCAGCATCTCACTACCAGCCCTGTTTGTGGCCAAGGCTAGGGCCTGAGCCTCCACTTCTTTCAAAACATTGTGCACCATCAGCTCTGGGAAAAAACAAGAAAAGAAATACATTAAAGAGAATGAGAGGAGGCTAAGGTTATGTTCCATCACTTAACCAAGGGGTGGGGAGGGAGGAAGGGGATACAGGAGATGAAACTAAGTCCTCACACCCTGGGAACCCACGAGAATGTCCTTACCGGTCCTGGATTTTATGCCCAACTAAGTGCCTCCCTTGATCCCACCCCAAAGTTGCTCCCTACCTCGTTCTTCTCCCGTCTCGGGGACCTCTTTCAGCGCGGATAGCGCCCGGCGGAAATACCCCAGAGCTTCTGGGCCCAGGTGAGGGTGCGCATCCGGAGCCGGCTCTGAGCGCCCATCCGGAGGCGGGCAGGGTTGTCGCTGGCGGCCTGGTGGGGGGCGCCCCGAGCCCTTAGCTCCGCGCCCTCTTTTGCCACCAGCGGGGAACCGGCGCCCCGCCTGGTGGGGGGAGCGCGGAACCAGCCCCATGAGTGCTTCGGCACCTCTCCGCCAGCAAAGGCTTCCTTAGCCGCAGGGGAAACCTCAAACACTCGCGTACGGGCCGGGGCCGGGCAGAGTTTAGTCACGCCCGCGCGCTCAGGGCGCAGCGTTACACGTCATAGCCCCGCGACTGCCGCTCCGCGGCGGGAGTGGCTGAGTTTCAGGATCGCCCAGCTCTCGCTTGCCAGTGCTGGCTCCTACCGGTCCTTGACCCGGACCCGCGGAGTACTCTTTGATCCTCCCCTCCGCGTCGCCAGCGGAAACTGGGTCTGAACGCGGACTTCCACCCCAGCCTCGTACTCTGACCCCGTAGTTGTCACCTCGTCCCGCTCCCGCGGCCAGAATTAAAGTCCTCGACTTCGAGAACTTTGCGAACGAGGCGGCGCGAGAACTCCAGCAGCAGTACACGTGGCCGGTAAGGGGCGCGAGCGCCCTCCACTTCGGGCTCGGGGTCCCGTGGCCTCGCGCCCACCCCCGACCCGAAAGTCTCGCCTCCGGACCAGCGGCCAGTGCTCCAGAGAGCTCAGGACTCCGCGTGGACGCGCTGGGAGGGACCGCCCCGCTACAGTCTCCCACCCAGTCAGCCCCACTCAGAAAGTCTCAGTAAGTGGCCCTCCTGGACAGCCCCACTTCTTCAGTCCTTGGCCTCCCAAAAGGGACAACCAGCCATGTCCTGGGGCCTGCACTAGTTATCCCCCTTCTTCAGTCCTTGGCCTCCCAAAAGGGACAACCAGCCTTGTCCTGGGCCCTGCACTGGTTATCCCCCTCTGAAACTTCTCTCCCATCAAAGGATCTCAGCCTTGGCTCCCCTTCCTATCATTGTCAAGGTCCCCCCTCTGCATATACACTCTGCAGGCTTCCCTCAGAGCAAGTCCTTGCTTCCACAGATTTAACCCCTTCGCTTGTGAGTCATGCCAGCTCCCATGAAGGGCCAAGTGTGCGTGGTTACTGGTGCTTCCAGGGGTATTGGCCGGGGCATCGCTTTGCAGCTCTGCCAAGCAGGTGCCACAGTTTACATCACTGGCCGCAATCTGGACACACTGCAGGCCACTGCTCAGGAGGTGAGTGCTTCTTCTGGGATCCCAGGGGCAGAAACCACCTCAGGGAGCCCTTCCCATTAACCACTCCTCTTAATCCCTTATCTGAAACCAAAATATTCCTCAGTAGACATGAACATTTTTACTCAAAGTGGGATAAGTAAACCCCATAAGTAACTTCAGATCAGGTCATATTTTGCCACCAAGTGAATTTTATGAAAAATCTTGCTGTTTGAGAGCTTCAGAGATTTTGGAGTTGCATCTTAAGAGTTGTGGACCTGTGCTCTTTCTCTGTTTTTGTTAAGACTTTATTGACTTGTACATTTTCACTAGAGTTTTCTACTGAATTTCAGTTAAATAAATACTGGGGTGTGTTTGATAGGCTAGGCACTGGGTGAAGCACTGGGATTACCAAGATTAGTAAGACATAACTTCTGCTTTTAAAAGAGAGTCCAGCAGGAAGTCTGAGGCAGAAACGGATCATTTCAATGTAATGTGAATACAGTAAGTGATAAAAGTAATTAATATGAATATGGTAAGTGATAAGTGTGCCCAGAATGCACTGGGAATATGGGTGAGCAGTTAGGCAGGGAGGTCAGAGGGTGGGACCCAGAGCATGGATCTGGAGAATATGATGATTGTTCTTGAATAAGGTGTTCTTTCTCTGAAGTTAGAGGATGGGGGCACATTTGTAGAGGGTGAGGCAGAACAGGAAGTAGAGATAGTTCATGTCTGAGAGCTTTGATTTCTCATTTACCAGGCAGAAGTGTTGGTGGAGTGAGGGTAAGAGGGCTGTGATTTTAAGTTGGGATTCCACATGAGTGGTGAAGAGTGGGAGCTAAGGGCACGTGAAATGGAAATGACTAATAATGAGGAAAAAGATAGATACTCATTTCTCAAGAGCAGCCTCCAAGCCTAATTTGTCCTTCACCCTCCACATGCAGAGTACAATGCCTTGCGCATGGTAGGCCTCAGTAAATGTCTATAGATTTTAAACCTGGGATCCCCATCAACATTACTCTACAATGACAGGACCTAGCATTCCTGAAACTCCTCCAACAGGCACCAGAGGGCAGTATTGCCACCATGTTCCCTCAGCTGCTGGCTGTGAGTCCTATGATAGCCTTCTCAGCTCCCACGCTGGGAGTTGAGGGGAGCTGTGTTGTGTCTCTTACTATGTTCGACGGGAAGCTCATATCCTCTCTAACCCTCTCCAGGCACAATCCCGAGGGGGCCGGTGTGTGCCCGTGGTGTGTGATTCAAGCCAGGAGAGTGAAGTGCGAAGCCTGTTTGAGCAGGTGGATCAAGAACAGCAGGGGCGTCTGGATGTGCTGGTCAACAACGCCTATGCTGGGGTCCAGGTGCTCTTTGAACTTTGACCCCAGCTCCACACTCCTGACCTTTCCCTCTGACCTGAGTCTTCATCCCCACTCATTATCCCTTCCATTATCCAGCCCCTTCCTGCCTTCAAAGCATCCTATTCACCACTCTCCCTGTCTTCCAGGCGATCCTGAACAACACTAAAAAGGCATTCTGGGAAAGCCCCGCCTCCATCTGGGATGATATCAACAACGTCGGACTCAGGTAGGTGCCTCCCCTGCCACGCCGCTAAGGGCCTGGGCTCCCCTCACTCAACCAAGCTGAGGGCCGAGACGTTTTCCCATGTGCCCTCTCCTTTTCCCTCTGATCTTGTCTCTCTTCTCCCTTCTGTCCCATTTGTCCACTAATCTCTAAAGAAGTTTAATCCAGGTGAATCTGTACCTAAGAATGTCAACTTTTGCCTTGTTTCTGTCAGTAATTTTCATCTGAATTTGCCCTTGCCCTCCCTCCTGCCTCATTTTCTTCCCATCCAAATGCATGACCCAGAAGGGAGCCTCTTTCCCTCAGTAAAGCATGCCACCTATAGTCAGTATTTCCGAAGATGGCTAGAGGAGGAAATTGTTTTGTTTTAGGTCAGAAGAAGGTCAATAAGGAAGAGTGAGTGCCAGCTATCTTAGCCTTTCCCTCCTCACTCCAGACCCACAGGCAAGGGTACTCCCAAGTCCAAGTTGGGAGGGCAGGGGTGTCATGGGGTTACACATACATCTGGCAAAGGAGTGAGATGAAACACCGCATTAAGAGTTCACCTAGCATGACATACATCAGTTAGGTCTGTGTTTATTGTTGGAAAGAGGGTACCCTCTCAGAAACTACACTGCATGGATGTGATCAGCCACCTGTGGGAGTCACCAAGAGATTATATGCAAATCTACTTCTGAAGCGTCTAAGGACACTCAGGGCTTCTAGTGGCAACCCCAGGGAAGCAGGATTAGAATCCACTTGTCATTTCCCAAGTGGAATAAAGGTTGTGAGGACAGAGGGGGATGGTCAGCCAACAATCAAGAAAAGAAAACCCGGACTTCCCTGGCAGTCCAGTGGTTAAGACTCCACCCTTCCACTGCAGAGGGCATGGGTTCAATCCCTGGTTGGGGAACTAAGATCCCGCATGCCGCATGGCGTGGCCAAAAAAAAAAAAAAGAAAGAAAACCCGAAGAGCTAGAAATTGGCAACACCCATATCCTTAACCCTCCAAAGAGAGGGGCCTTCCACACTCTCATCTCCTGCTGGTCGGGGTTTTGAGCCTGTGAAGCAAAGGCCTGGACCCCACCCTGGAGCTCTGATGAATTCTCCAAGGTGAAGGTCACTCTGTGAGCCTCCTGGAAGTGCACCAACATCTGCTTTCACCTCCCACACACACATTCACATTTACTGTGCCTTTCTTCTGCATTGCCTGAGGTCAGGCTTCCTTTTGATACCATACTCTACTTGTTTTCATTTGGAGGGTCCTGTTTCCCTTGCGATACTGGTTACCAAGTATGTGTGTGTTATTTTTTTAAAAATATACTGTGAAGACCAGTACAATCTTATTCCCCTAGTCACCACTGCTTCCTCTTTTGCCTGAGATATAGCTACTGTTAATAGCCTAGTATATATTCTGCCATTCATTTAAATATTCCACTAGGAAGAGATACCATAATTTATTTATCTAACCCCTTATTTGTTGCAACAGTGGAAAATAATTATGTCAAAAAATATGACTTCTTAAAGATTTTAGTAAGCATTATCAAACTGTCCTCTAAAAAGACCCCACCAATTTATAATCTCACAACAGTGAAGGAGGATATCTGTTTCCCCGTGTCCTCAATCATACTAGACAATATCAGGCCACGAGGTCAGGCAAGTTTCGCCATCTAATAGGCCAAAGATATCTGAAGGTGTTTTTTAATTTACACTTCTCTATTATTTGTGAAGTTGAGCTTTTTTTTCTCACTTTTTATTGGTTCTTGATTCTTTTGTGAGTTGTGTTACTAAGTTATTCTTTTCACATCAATTTATAAGAGATCTTTGTACAAGATCTTTAGATTCCTTTGATGTGTGTTTTACAAATATCTTTCTCAATTTATTACTCATTGCTTGCATGTATGCTCTCCTCAGCTATGTATACTTAATTGTGTACACATGTATGTATTTGTACATCTTTCTCTCTATACATATGTTTTACTGTTAAGTCACATTTCTATCTAGGTGTGATACTGAGACAGGTTTTCCCTACCTCAAGTTTATGAACACATCGTCATGCTTTCTTTTAGTGCTTTTGTGCACTCATTTTTTTATATTCAAATATTTTGAGAATGCATTTTAAAACAATAAATGAGGTAGAGAACAAATCACACCCACTAAATAACTGACCAGTTGTTCCAAATCCATTTATTGTTTGGTCCATCTCGCCCCGTTGGTTTGAAATGTTCTGTTTGTAATTCGCTGAATTCTCCTTTACACTTTCATTAATTATTGATTATTTTGTTTCATTGACTTACTTATGTATTATTATGCCAGTCCTGCATTTTTTTTAACTATTATGTCACTGTACTTTTTTTTTTTTTGCGGTACGCGGGCCTCTCACTGTTGTGGCCTCTCCCGTTGCGGAGCACAGGCTCCGGACGCGCAGGACCAGCGGCCATGGCTCACGGGCCCAGCCGCTCCGCGGCATGTGGGATCTTCCCGGACCGGGGCACGAACCCGTGTCCCCTGCATCGGCAGGCGGACTCTCAACCACTGCGCCACCAGGGAAGCCCCTCATTGTACATTTTAACGCAGGTTGGCTGGGTGAGGGGAGCATATCCCCCTCACCGACACGATGTTACTCTTCCTTCTACAGAATTTTCCTGGCTCTTCTTACACATCTGTTCTCACTGAGCTTTAGATTGTTCTGTTGATCTCTCCAGGAGTCTTACTGAGATATAACTCCCATTGACTGGACCTGTGCATTAGTTTAAGTAGAACTGATGTTTTACACGTTGATTCTTCTAAGCAAATTATGTCTGTACTTGTTCTTTTATATTAAGCAGAACTTTATAGTTTCTCCTTGTAGATCCTATACATTTATTATGTTTTATCCCCTGAGCTATTTTAGCTTTGTTATTGCTGTCATGACAGAGTGCTTTTCTTCCATTACAGTCTTCTAAAGATTGCTGTTTCTTAACCTTCGGTGGTTAATATTACCCGTGTCCCTCTCAGAATGTGGCCTCAAGCCCTTGATTCACCAGGTTTGCGGCCTTCTCCTGGATCAGAAGCCATTAGGGGGCAGAAGAAACTTCCCGAGACAGCCCTGAATGTGGTTCATTCCTTCTTCTTTGCCCCACCTTCTAGAGGCCACTACTTATGCTCTGTGTATGGGGCACGGCTGATGGTACCAGCTGGCCGGGGGCTCATCGTGGTCATCTCCTCCATTGGTGGGCTGCAGTATTTCTTCAACGTCCCTTATGGCGTGGGCAAAGCTGCGGTGAGGACCCACTGGCACAGGGGTTGGGGACAGTCGTGGTACCCATAGCTCAGGAGAGACAGTCCCCGGTAGTCAGAGTGGTGAGGCTGACTGATCCTCACCTCTTCCTCTGCCCCTGCATGGATGGTTCCTTTGCCTGGGCTCCTCTCAGCTGGCCAGCCTAGGCAGTGCACTGGGGAAGGTGGACAGCTGAGACAGGGCTCCTGGGAAGGCCGGGGGGTTGGGGCATCCTCGGTGGAAGCAGGGAAGGCAGGGGAGGGATGTGACATGACCAGGTGCCCTGGCTCCCACCTGGCCTTCTGTCCCTCTGCAGTGCGACAGGCTGGCTGCTGACTGTGCCCAGGAGCTGCGGCGCCACGGGGTCAGCTACGTGTCGCTTTGGCCAGGGTTGGTGCAGACAGAACTGCTGAAGGAGCACGTGATGAAGGAGGAGAACACTGCCGATCCCCTTGTTGAGCAGGTTGGCAAGGGGAGGGCGAGGGTGGCAGAAAATGTGGGGATCAGCCACTCCATCCCCACATCCTCCAACCACAAGACAGTAACAACAGAGTAAATACCCAGGTGCTTGTCGCGGCAGGCGCAGGGCTGAGCACTGACACACATTATGTCCTTTTCTCCTGTAAGGGAGACGGTGTCTCCATTTCACAGACGGGGAAACTGAAACTCAGGGAGGCTAAGAAACTTGCTCAAGGTCACATGTGCCATAAGTGGAAAGATTATCCAGCTCCAAAGCCCATGCCCTTGACCTCTGCTCTGAACTAATCTAGAAGGCCCAGACATAATTGACAACCCTACATCCTTCCACTTAGGAAAGGCAGTTGGTCCTGGTCCTGGGGTACAGGGCTCACTGGATGTGGGGAGGAATGATTCCCGTACCTTCTGAGATGCTGAGTCCTGCAGGTGCAGTGATGAGGGCCTCTGTCTCCTGGACAGAAGCTGAAAGCAGGGAAGGGACTTGGGCAGTGCTCTTGGAAATTAACCCTTCACTTCTCTGCCCCTGTGTTTCAGTTCAAATTTCGTTTCTCATCTGCGGAGACCACAGAAATGAGTGGCAAATGTGTGGTGGCCTTGGCAACAGGTGAAGAGGTTGGGGGCGGCTGGTAACAGGAAAGGGCATGGAGGATCTTCAGGGTGGTGGCAGCCAGTTCAGGGTCCCGAGCCAGGAATAGGCCCTTCTTTTCTCTGGCGTCTGGAGCCCCAAAGGGTCCGACGCCCAGTTTGAGGTGCGGGAGCCTCAGGAACTGGATCCTGGGAGACATGGCCAAGAGCCAGAGGCCCAGGAACCTTCCTAGAAACAGAGAGAAACAAGTCTCGGTAGTGCCCTGGGCCACACCCGGGCCGTCTCAGCTGTCTGTGTGCCCGCAGACCCCCATATCCTGAGCCTAAGCGGGAAGGTGCTGCCGTCCTGTGACCTGGCACGGCGCTACGGCCTGCAGGACGTTGATGGTAAGAGCTCTGGCCAAGCAGCCAGCCTGGACCTCTCTTCCTTCTCACCCAGCTCACCCCTTCTCCCACTCTCTCTCCCTGTTCCCTCCTCCCTCACCTTCCACTCAGTCTCCTCAGCCGGGGTGGGGGTGTCCGAGGAGTGGGAAGCAAGGGTCTAATCCTTTTTTTCCTGTGGTCCGCAGGCCGCCCCGTCCAGGACTATTTGTCTTTGAGCTCCGCTCTCTCCCATGTCTCCAGCCTGGGCTGGCTGGCCTCCTACTTGCCTGGCTTCCTCCGAGTGCCCAAGTGGGTTATGACCCTCTATGCTAGCAAGTTCTAACCCTCCTGGCCTGACACAGTTCTGCTCCCCTTTGGGCTGAGTGGTTGGCCTATCGCAGTGGAACAAGGCCGCCTTTCCCGCCCACCTGCTGCATACCCTTGATCTGAAGAGACGGCCTCTGCCGTGTGCCCTGGTTGAGCCCTAGGGACCTTTATAGGTCCTTCTTCAGGTCTTCCTTGCCCCTGCGTTTTACTTTTTGCCTTAATATTGAAAAATGTTTTGGGGGCTAATAAAGGTCTCGTTTCTCCTTCAACTTATTTTCAAGTGCTGATTCTATGCTCAGGAAGGTATTAAGTACTTGAGAGAGAGACCTAATGGTATGCAAAATGTGTAGGTTCTCAAGGATCTCTATCCCCAGCACAAGCCCCTTTACTCCACATCTGTTCCTCCTCTTCCCTGTAGAGCTGCCCATCTCAGGAGCACCTGCCCTTTGGCTCCCATGCCCCAGCTGGGGAGCAGGATCCTCCACAGCCAGAAGCAGGCACACCCCAGTCCCTCACTGCTTTCCCACCCCCTCATTCCGCCATCTCTTCAGGGATGCCTGCTGCCTTCTAGCTGGGCCTGATCCCTGGTTGAGGCCCAATCCAGGAAGGGCAAGCTCCTTGGTGTTCACAATTTCCCAGAATTTGGGAGGAAAGTACTCTCCAGATCCACGTGAGAGGCAGAAGAGTAGTTGATGACACCGGCACTTCACATCCTCCCTCCTGGGATGGCACCACCTGAACTGCTTTCGGAAGAACTGACTGCAAGAACCCTTTAGGGCTGCCTTTCCTGCTTGGGGTGGGGGTGGGGGGTCTGTCCCAGCCCGAGGCAAGGCAACAGGGTGTGTATTCCAAAGAGGAGCTGAGGGCCACTCTGAGGGCACCTTCCCACCAGCAGCCTCGATGGCCATCAAGGTAGCTGGATGGCTGCTGTAAATCAGAGTGGCATAGATAATTTCTAAACTTCAAAAAAGGCAGGGTGAGAGCTGAGGCTTCCCAAGGCTCCCCATAGAGTCTGCAGAAGCTGTGATCTTCCTGTGGCTTTTGGGGGGCCGCCCCCGGTTACTATTCCAGTGGGTGCTGGGGTGGCCCACTGGCGGGTGAAAGCTGGTTGTGTGCATCTCTTCCAGCCCTGCAGTCAGTGACTTGACAGCAGTGGCTTGAATTCAGCCGTGGTGCGAGTATGTGCGGCCCAGGAGTCCACGGCTGCTGCCAGTCAGGCCACTTTTTAAGAGAGAGCCAGCTTCTCAGCGTGTGACTAGAGCTGCCTACTTAAATTCCGCCATTTACCCAGGCACCCCACTCAGATCGCAGCGATCAGATTTCCTCACCACCCACTCCCTGCCTTCCACTCACCACCCTAAATTCCCCTAAGATTGGTGAGGGGCAGCAGCAGTTGCCTGTATGCTTTAAGAAGAAGGACAAGCACCTCAGGATCTCCAGCCTTCCACACCCATCTTTAAAAACATCATTGGAACAGATCCTTTCGTGAGGGCCTTGTTCCCTAAACGCCACAAGGTATCATGGGAAGAACATGGGCTTCAGAGTCATACAAATCTGTGCACAAATCCTAACTTCACCCCTTTGGAAAGTAAGTGAAATAACACATATGCACCAAGCAATATGTAGCCACTAAAGTTGTCGATTCTTCCTCTTAACAAACATTTAAGAGTATGCTCTGCACCAGGCACCATTCTTGGCTTTGGGAGAGCAGAGAACAAGACAGACCAGGCTTCAACCCACAGAGGACTTTCATTCAGCCCCGGAAGACCTTAGAAGTCAGCTAGACCTTCGACTTACCTTAGGAAGTGAGTGAACTGGGTCCCCAAGAGTACATCAACGCAGAGTTCAGCCTCAGCCCTGGTTATCTCAAGAAGCCGGAGGGAGCAGTGTTCTTTAAGAGACACCACACTGCCTCCCTCCAACAAGACTTAATTAATCTTAGAAACATAAACAATGGAGTCGAGCTCTGAGAGACTGAAACATGGACAGTGAGTGTTGATTGGAGGTAGAAGAGATTCAAGATCTGAGAAACCCAGTAGCAGAGTCTTAGGACATTTGGGGGATTAGTATTCATTCAGAAAACATTTATTTGACACCTGCATTCTGCCCAGCACTAGGGAAGACTAGTTCAATTTGGTGAGATGGTTGCTATAGTAAGTTTACACAGTACCCTGACAGTACAGGAGGGAGCAACTGGCTCCATTAGGAGAGTGAAGGAAGTGATACTGACTAGAGACTTAAAGAATGGGAAGAGAGAAGGTGGGAGGGGGTTCGTTTTTTCTAACTATAAAAAAAAAAAGGCAGGTACTGAGGCACAAAATGGTGCAGGACAGCTAGAAGTTCGTATGATGTAAGTGTAGATGTGGTATGGGATAAGTTTCCAGGGAGAAAGGAGATGAGTAAAGATCCGTGATTAAGATTTAAATTGTGGGCAGTAGGTTTCCACCCGAGGGATTCATCTTAGATGCTGAGTGACTATTAAGGAAGTGCTCCCAGGGGAGCTGGGTGGAGGGGGAGAAGCCAAGCAAGAGCTCCAGTTCAGCCGTGGAGGGTGGCTTCCCTCAGAGCCCAGGGGAGAGCCCTGGAGTATAAGGCCTCAGGGTAGCCCTGCCTGGGACAAGGGAGCCAGGCTTTCATTCCCCACCACCACCATTGAGTAGTCACCAGTCACACTTTGGCCCAGGTGGGGCCAGGCAGGGCAAAGCAGCTCCAGGAGGTCATGGGCAGCCTTCCAAGAGGAGCTGCAGGTGTCGACCTTGAAAACACGTTGAAGGGGGTGTCATGCACGAAAATGGAAAAGGGCATCCGAGGGGATCTGGGCAGAGCATTAACACTAAGCTACAGGAGGGTTTAAGCAAGAGAGGAGTGTGCACTGATCTGTACTTGAGGAAGCTCACCAGGGCTGAGGTGTGGGGAGGATGGACCAGAGGGAGGACAGGCAGGCATCAGAAGAGCTGCCCAGAGGCTGGCCAATATCCCGGGATGTGATGGCAGCGGAGGTGTGGGCTGAGGAGAGATTGTAGGAGGCAGAGTCAATAGACAGGACCTGTAGGAAGGGAGGTGGGGCTGGTGCAGGACTGCCGTGCTGTTACCACTGGCATGGGGGCCGTGAAAGCAGCAGCAGGCACAGAGAAGGAAAGAATGTGCCGGAGTTGTGAAGGAAATCAGCCGTGGTGAGACACGGGCTGGCTGAGATACAGCCCCTACCCCTACCAGAGCAAATCTAGGGACTTGGCCGGTCCCCAGAAGATGCTTAATCCCCTAAGGGAGCCCAGGGAAGGATGGAGAAGAGATTTTTGATTAGCATTTTAAAATTTACATTTCTAAAAGGTGACATTCACATGGGTCAGAATCCAAAAGGTATATAAAGAAGTTCCCCCTCCTATCCCTGCTCACTAGTGCCCAGTCCCAATCCAGAGGCAGCCAGCACTACCATATTCTTGGGTAGCCATAGAGAAAGCCCACGCCTGTACAAGCAAAGAGCTAAGCATATTTCAGAGAAGAGATTTGACTGCGTGCAAATCTGGGCCTCTCTTTCTCCAGCTAAGGGGTTGTATTTTCCAGTCTCTGAGGCCTATTATGGCCCTTGTGTTCTACACTTCTAAGCAAGGAGCAGCCCTGGCCCAGAGGCCTCACCCCTTCTCACGTTGTTAGGCAGGTGCTCCCATTACCCAAAACTTCCCTACCCCGCTAGCAGGGAGGGTAAGAGAAAGAGCAACTGAGGGCCTAAAGGATGGAGGAAAATGGCTGCAGAGAAGCAGTGGCGGTGCCAAGGAGCCCAGCCTCATCAGCCTGACCAGCCCTGGCCTCCTCAGAAGCGGACCCACACTGCACCTGTGAGATGCACGTCACGCCTGAAGTGGATTCCTCTTTTCTAGGGCAACTGCCCAAGGGTTTGGCGTGCCAAAGTGAGGCCAACCGTGGAGCTTCTGCTCCCAAGGAGTCCCCAGGGATGTAGCTCTGACCGATTGGCTGACACAAAACAAGGTGATGGAAGCAGGCCTGAACCATGGCATCTCAGATGCCAGCTTCCGGGACGAGTCACGGAGGAGGACTTCCCATCGGCTCCTGAAGGTCCCTTTGGGTGATGTGAATGACAGTGGTGTCAGGATTCAGGCATGGGGAATGAAGAGCACACACAAGGCCCCAGAGGAGCCCAGCCTAATAGACAAATCAAGGTGAGATGGTCGGGCCCAGACCCACCCTTTTTCCCTCCTCAGCCTGGCTCCTACCCACCCATGGCCCCCACTGTTTTGCATGTTGCATGAGGTCCCTTCAGCTCCTGCTCTCCCTGTCACTGGGGAGGGCCCCCGCCATGACCTCAGAAGTTGCTTCGCCGCAGCCTGTCCCCCATCCCATCTGGTCCCCGGTCTTCACCCCCTAGGTTGGTCCACACCTCCACACAACCCCTCCTCCCCGGACCTTCGGCCTGTGTCCTCTCCGGCCTCCCATCCTTCCGCCGCTCCTCCTAGCCCCTCGGGGCCGCCTCAGCTGCCCTTCCCCCCGGGCCCTCCACACAATTTTCTCCCTTCCCTTCCATCTCCCAGTCAGCTGGCTTTTGTTGCAGCCTCCTCCTTGCCCAGCCCTGGGCAGGGCGAGGCAGATGGGCACAGGCAAGCTTTAGAAGACAAAGGTCTGGCTCTCAAAGTGCTTTCAGTTATCACCGTGAAACAATTAGACAGTCATGATGAGACCCAGGGTGGGGACTCGAAGGGGCGGGAGGGGTGGGCAGCCAGGCTGCTCCCTGGGCCACAGACAACTCTTGTTCCCTTCAGGTTTCACCTTCCTGGGGGTATTAGAACATCCTTACCCCTGCCTTTCTCTGCAAAACCTCACCTCTGCTTCAGTTCCTGCCTCCAGCAACCAAAGGCATCCTTGCCCATCTCGATCTGTCCTGATTCCCTCTGGGACAGTCACCTTGGCTAGCTCTCCTACACACACACCTTTCTTGGGTGCCCCCGCCCAGGGATCATCCACAGAGCTTTATTACCTCCTGTTTAACCAGGCTGGCCTGGTTCATGTTGACCTGCAGAGGCAGGTCTGAGCAGGGGCTGAGGATGGGCCCAGGCGGGACCTTCTCTGGATGGATGGATGGATGCCACTGCCCTCTGCACAGAGGCACCTGCAGAGCTCAGAAGTGGGCCAGCTCCCGCCAGGGCCCAGTGCAGGCTCGCTGGGAACAAGGTCAAGGGGTCACAGGGCCTGCCTGGCAACTTGTGTGCCAGAAGAGGAGAGGACCTGGAATCCGGCTGTGCTTAACTTGATAATG